GGATAGAGAGACCGGGATGGTTTTTAATGTGAAGACAACAACAACAACAAACAATCAGAGCCCAGGATTTGTTATTATTACGGTGGCAAATAGCAAATAATTAATCGGAGCAATTTTTTGCTTTCTTCCGGCGACAAAAAAATCTGAACCAAGGCGTGTCCGCAATTGTTTTTCAATCGCAGGAAACAAACATTATGGTCCAAAGCCTTTATATAAACAGTAAAGCTAGGGCAGTAGACCTACCACACATCAATTGAAAGATGGCAACCACAGCTTTCAAATGAGCCTGGTCTTGCTCTCATCAGATAACGACAAGGTACAGCAGTGGCCGGAGATGTATAGGGTACTCTTTGACTGTATTTTTATGTCGGGAGGCGAAAAAAAACAAAAATGACGAAGAAATAGCAACGCAAGTAGAACTCTTTGGAAACCCTATGATTTGGTGACGTGGAATCGGCCGGCGATGGCCGCGATGGCCTATCGCGCGTAGATTTGTGTGTAGATGTGCCAGTGGGGTCGTGGGTTTGCGCGTCTCGATGTTGCTTGCGATCGAAGTGTGTTTCTTAGGCCTTCGTGGGCTGGGAACAGCAGGGAACTTGAACACTGAAACAGGGGGGGCACGCGACATCAGCTGACAGCTGACACTAGCTAATTGCGCCACTTCCTGTATAGTCTATCTACCTAATTGCGCCGCTTCACTTTCTCTCCAACTCTCTCTCTCTCTCTCTCAACTAACTGCAATTCCCTCATAAGCTCATCATTCCAACCATAAACCAACACCTTCTCAATTCTAGTCTCCACCTCATACTCTTTCTTGACCTTCCATTCCATCACGCCTTTTATATATATACTGCGATTAAACTACCCCAAGTCTTCTTACACTGACCAAAACTAGGGTTGACTTATTGCACGACATTCGCCCTCCCCAGGTTCAACGCATACTTATCTGCGATCAGTCTCGTTTGAATTAACACTTGACCACAACGTGCAATGCTTGACCTACAACCAATATCATTCTCTTGCAACAAGTCCGAACAGTAACCACCAGAATCAACTCATGTAATACACACACCTCAATTTCGTCACGACCGTGGTACCACTGCAATACGGCTCCATCACAAGGTACATTCTTTAGCCAAAACAACAATTGCTCAAACACATTAATTTTGACCCGTATTCGACTGCACCACTTGGCACACTTTTCCGCAGTCCTACGCACTTCAAAATTCAACCAGTTAATCATCCTCCAACTCAAACATGTACTTCTTGATACTTTTCGCCGTTCTGTGTGCATGCCAGCACCACGTTCCTGGATCTTGTACCAGGTTGTCCGTCGTCAGATTCTTCTCCAGAAGTGCCACATTGATGTTTTTGCCGATGTCCACCAGCTTGATAGTATGCTTGATGCCTTCTTCCCACCTCGGTTCCGGAGTCACCTGCACCACCTTTGCAAACTGCCACCCAGCCTTTACCGTCTTGAAGTATAAATATGCACCAATCATCGCTTTACTTCGAAGACTCGGCCTACCCCGTATGTCACAACAAAGTTTGTAATCTTTTTGCACGTGTCTTTCTCCCTTCCTGCTAGCAATCGTCCTTTTTGCACCCTGAATACGGTACCTCCGATACCTAATGTTCCCTCCGGCCGATTGTTCCGGCTGCTCATTCCAATATTTAAGTACCACGTCCCCATATTGCTCTAACTCTACTTCATGCTCCCACGTACACTTAGCCAACCCCGTCCAATGCGTGTAGTACTGAACCGCCCCCTTCCCACTTATACCTCGACAAATCCTGTGCCTTGATATTTTACACGGGACCAATTCTCTACTATCCACTTCTTCCTCCACGTCCTCTGCCGTAAGGTGGAACGGAGGCGCTAACTCTGAAAACTTATTCAACACATACTTGCTAAAGCCCCACGGCAAGAACCTAGGCCTATCCTCGTTCTCGTGCTGAGTATAACACTTCTTACATCGATACACCGACACTCTCTCATTAATGTTCGTCCCTGGCTCATCCTTATTCACGTCCAAGTACAAAATATTCGGGCCCACTTTTTCCCCTTCCGGATCCGTCCCTGGACCCACAAACAACACCTTATACGGCCCGGTCCAATTGTGTGCTAACTTCGGGATCAACGCGAACGATTTTTCTTTCCCCCTACTGTTCATTCGCGATTTAAGCACGTGTTCCCCCCCACCAGAAATTGTACTCTTCTCATCATACACCAAGACCCAGTCCCCCTCCTTGTACTTCGGCCTCTTCCCTATTATCGAGTTCAACACCTGATTGCTCTTCTCATGCTTTGACTTGGTTATCTTATCCTGCTCTCTTACCAACTCGTACGCCTTCCTTTGCTTATCCCTCATCAAATTCAAATAATCCAATTGGTCTTGCTTTAGGCCCTGATTTCCCGAAACACCCCTTCCCTCCAAGATCGTCATCGGCAACCTCGGGTACCTTCCAATGTGTACAACGTTTGGTGCTAGCCCCGTCCCTCGGCTCACGTTATTGTTGTGTGCCGCTACCGCGTGTGGCAACATCTCATCCCAATTCGCCTGATCGTCCGCAACCAAGTGCGACAACATTTGACACAGCGTATGATTTAAACGTTCCACCATCCCATTCGTCTGCGGATGATATGAGCTAGTAAACTTCTTCACAGTTCCCAGCATCATCTTATACACCCCTTTCGCTACCTCATTCGCAAAATCTGCTCCCCTATCTGACAACATGGTGTGCGGACAACCCCACCTCGCAATATAATCGTTCACCATGATAGACACAAAACCCTTCGCATTTTTCTGCGCCTTCGTTAGTGGGTACCCCTCGGCATGTCTGCTGAATAAATCTACCACCAAAAACACGTACTCATTGTCTTTCGTCGTTTTCGGCAATGGACCCAAATAATCAAACGACACCATCTGCCCCGGTCTGCTCGGAAGAGGCAAAGACACTAACGGCCAGCACTTCGTATGCCGCGGCACCTTCCGAAACTGACAAGAATAACACCTACGAATCCACCACCGCACGCTTTCAGCCATTCCTATCCACCAGTAAACCCTCTGTAAAATACCTAAGGTCACCTTCTCTCCCAAATGCACCGCTTCCTTGTGGGCACAATCCATGACCCATGGTCTCAACATCCTAGGCACATACGTCCGAACTGGCTCTTCACCCACCCATCTCTCAAATTGCCCTGGATTTCTATTTGGATTTTCCGCAGGGGCTTTCAATTCTTTCCTCACCAACAAATGNGCTGGCTCTTCACCCACCAATCTCTCAAATTGCCCTGGATTTATCTTTGGATTTTCCGCAGGGGCTTTCAATTCTTTCCTCACCAACAAATGCTTCGAATTTGGCAACACCA